AGCCCAGCAGTTCTGGACTGAGGGATGCAGGTGGAGCCTGGTGTGGGCAGGGTCTCAGCTTTACAGGGGACCCTTCTTTCCAGGTGACAGTTCAGCAGAGAAGTTAGGTTCTGGGGACTGGTGGGGACACAGGTGCTGCGACAGGCAGTCTGATGAGGGGCGTGGGCCTGAGTGACCTCAGGGTGCAGCCCAGTGAGCATGCTGGGCACCTGAGTAGAGGACCAGTGCCGGAGGGTTCCGGGTGTACACCCTGAGCCTGGGGGCACCAGGGGCCCCACAGAAATGGGGAGTCAGCAGCCAGGGCCCCATGAGCCCTTGGAACGGAGCCCTGGGACGAAGGCCACTTGGCTGGGCTGGGGGCTACAGGGTGGGCAGTGGGAGGAGCTGCAGCTTCTCCAGGGTTGCTGGGGCTTTTACAGGCCAAGGAGCCTCCTTCCTGAGGGAAGAGGGCTCAGCGCAGGCCAGCCAGTCCCTGGACAGGGGCACCCTTCCTGAGGCAGCAAGGCAGGCTGCAGCGCTGCACCCCACCTCTTCCTTGAGAGGGCCCATGCGGCCGGCACCCCCACTCCGACGGCCCCGTTGGCACCCGGCCTCCAGCAGGGCCAAGGAGGTCTCACCGCAGGTCCAGGGGCAGCTCGGCCACGTCCTGCTGCTCAGGCCGGTGCACCTGATGCGATGGCCACCTTCCGGGGCACTTCGTCTTAACTCAGCTGGACACTGGAGCAGCTAGGGTGGGCCCCAGGGCTGTGCTGGCAGGCAGGCTGCGGCCACAGTGCGCCTGTCCCCCACCAGCCGAGCTCCTGGCCCGAGGACCACCTCACACACGGGGGTCACCTCGTCTGTGCCGTCGGCTGCTGGGCCTGGCAGCTACCCCGCTGCAGGCTGGAGTGGGTCATTGAAAGGCCTTCGTGACATGGCCCTGGAGCCAGAGTGCGTGGCAGGGACCCTGCTGGTTGCTGTTTTCTCTGCAGAGTGGGGTTTGTCGTCACCTTCCCCTTGAGAGCTGTGGGGACGTGGAAGGACTCAGAGCAGCACTTGGCCCAAAGTGGTTGTGTCAGTGTCCTGGGGCTGCTGGAACAGTACCACAAACAGGGCTTAAACTAACACAAATTTATTGTTTCTGTTCCGGCAGCTAGAAACCCAGGTCAGGGTGCTGTGGCCCCTGTGGCCCCTCCAGGGGCTCCAGGGCAGGCCCTCCCTGCTTCCAGCTGCTGGAAGGGATCCCTGGGCTCAGAGACACATCTCTCTGGCCTCTTCTCTCAGCGCTGCCGTTCAGTGCGTCTGCCCACATTTCTCCTTATTACAGAACGCCAGTCACTGGGTTAGGGCCCGCCCTGCTCCAGACGACCTCATCTTAACCCATTATACCTGTGATGACCCAATGTCGAAACAAGGCTACATTCTGAGGTATCCTGGATGTTAGGACTTCCAACATCTTTTAGGGGGGTCACAGTTCAAACCGTAAGAGTCCACCCTCTGGCCCTGTAAAGTTCATATCCTTCCTACAAGCAAAATATGCTCAACCAATTCTTCTCCCCAAAAGTCTTGACTGTTCCAGCACCAGCCCAAAGCTTGACATCTCATCTAAATAGCAGTACTGTGTCCCAAATCTTACATCTAAGTGGCATCTGAGCCTGTTAAGATGTTTATGGTGTGATTCATCCAGGGCGCAGCACCTCTGTAGCTGCAAACCTGAGATCAGACGCGTGGCGGTCTGCTTCCAGAGGACAGGTGTGGACAAGTGTGGGGAGATGTCCCCATTCCAAAGGGGGAAAACCAGGACGAAGAGAGGAGGCAGGCCCCAGCCATGTCTGGAGCCCCCTGGGGGAAATGGCTCTGCGACCTGCCTGAGAATGAGCCGGTGTCAGTGCTGTCTCCTTGGCCTCCTGAGCCGCTCTCATCTGGCCGTCTGCCTTTCAGTCCAGGCCAGCAGAGCTCCCACTAGCATACAGTTCTCAGAAACCTTACTGGCCCCATGCAGTTCTGGGCATCCAAGCCTTCCAGTGTGGGTGCTCGCATCTTTCCTGGGCCACCCCTCTCTGCCCCGGCTTTTCTGGGACCTCTGGTGCCCTGATTTTGCACATCTTGCCTCTTGGCCACACCCTGGCTCGGTCTCCATAGCACAGGGATGGTGTCCAAGCCAAGTGCTGGCCCACCATTTCCTTGACCTCTGCTGCTGTTGGCTGCAAGCAGCATGGAGAAACCAGATTGCACCTTGCACATTTGGCTTGGAAATCTCAGCTAAATATCCAAGTTCATCCCTTGCAAATTTTGCTTTCCACTCAGCAGAGCACAACCCAGCCCAGCCTCTGCCACCTCCAGTTTCTGTGGCAGCTTCCTTGTTTGCACAGACCCCACCAGAATGGCCTTTACTGCCTGTGTTCCCACCAGCAGTCTCTTCAGACAGTCCAGGCTTTTACACACACAACAGCTCAAAACCCCCAGCTTCCCCTGTGACCCGACTCCACAGCCCCTTCCACACTTCGAGGTGCTTGTTCCAGCCCACTTCCCGGGACCAGAATCTGTGTTGCTTTCCTAGGGCTGCCTTAACAAAGTGCTACAAACTGGGTAGCTTATAGCAGAAATTTCTTGTCTTGGTTCTGGAGGCCAGTCTGAGATGAAGGTGTCAGCAGGGTGTGTCCCTAAAGGCAGAGTCCTGCTTCTCCCCTCAGTCTGGGGTGTCCCTGGGTTCGTGGCCTCACGCCAGCCTCTGCATGGTTCTTCCTGTGTCTGTCGTCACACAGTCCCTCTCACCGGGACACCGGTCAGGTGAGATTAGGGCCTGCTGTCCGGCATGACTTCATCTTAGGCCCACAGTGATCCCATTTCCAAGCCAAGTCACATTCTGACCTCTTGGAGACACAGCTCAACTGTGACGGCAGCTGTCAGCGTTGGGGCCTTATGGTCGACGCTGGTGGTTGGTGGGGTGGTTGACCGCTGGCTGCCTGTGCTGATCCTGGCCCTCCCCAGGCCATGCGGACCCTCAGCTGGAAGCACACCCTGGGGCTGGTGACCATGGATGTGGAGCTGGCTGACCGCACCCTGTCTGTGGCAGTGACCCCTGTGCAGGCAGTGGTCTTGCTGTACTTCCAGGACCAAGGTGAGCCCGCTGGCCCCTGCCCCCACCCCCCCGGGGCCAGCCGGGCCCTGCTCTCCTGTCAGGTGGGAGCCGGACTCAGGGCCTGGCTGGGCTGCCCAGGGCCTCTGGACCCCTGGAAAGCTGAGCTGGGCTGACAGGGCAGAGGGAGGTGCAGCCCGGCCCTGCGTGCCCAGCATGCCTGGCTGCCCCGCACACAGCCAGCTGGACCCTGGAGGAGCTGAGCAAGGTGGTGAAGATGCCGGTGGCCCTGCTGCGGCGGCGGATGTCAGTGTGGCTGCAGCAGGGTGTGCTGCGGGAGGAGCCTGCCGGCACCTTCTCTGTGGTTGAGGAGGAGCGACCCCAGGACCGTGACAACATGGTGCTCATCGATAGCGATGATGAGAGCGACTCAGGCATGGCCTCCCAGGCCGACCAGAAGGAGGAGGAACTGCTGGTACGTGGGGCTGGCGGCCTGCCTTGACCCCGTGTGGCTGTTGCTGGAGGGCAGCCCAGCTGACAGCCAGCCTGGCTGCTGTCTCCCCAGCTCTTCTGGACGTACATCCAGGCCATGCTGACCAACCTGGAGAGCCTCTCGCTGGAGCGCATTTACAGCATGCTGCGCATGTTCGTGGTGACCGGGCCTGCACTGGCCGAGATCGACCTGCAGGAGCTCCAGGGCTTCCTGCAGAGGAAGGTGCGCGACCAGCAGCTCATCTATGCAGCTGGCGTCTACCGCCTGCCCAAGAGCTGCAGCTGATGCCTCCCCAGCCCCGCCCGGCCCCACCCAGCCCCGGAGTGCAGAGTAAAGCAGATGGTCCATCCTTTCCTTGTCCTGGTGTCTTTGTGGGCCCCTCACGGGCACATGATTGGGCTCTCTATCCGGACTAGACCCTCCCACCTTAACCTAGCAAGGCTTGGCTCCCTGGGAGCAGGTGAGGGGAGCCACAGGGTGGCCAGGCCCAGGCCCAGCCCCAGCCTCACACCAGTGTTTGGGCTCCAAATGTGGGGTCCTGGCACATGGGCATCCCTGGACTGCTTCAGCGGGTAGAGGCCCATGTCTGAGGCTAAGGATCAGGCAGGACCCCAGGAGTAGGCTTCCTTTGAGCCACATGTGGTGCCTCCAGCACAGCCATGCTTCTCTGTCCTTGAGAGAAGCCATTGGGTCCCACCTGTCCCAAGCCTGAGGGTCATGGTCCCAAGTGCTGGGCTCAGCCAGGGCTGCTGCTGGCTGTGTGGGCTCCATTGGAATGCCTGTTAAGCCAAGAACTCCCAAATCTCTGGCAGGAGGGGCTGCCTGGGACACCCTGGCAGTGGGAGGGCATCTCTCCACCCCTCTCATGTTGGGGTTGGCCATAGTGCCTGGAACTCAATGAAGTTTGCCTTCACTGGGACCTTTCCCTTCCACACCCCTGGACGTGTGACCAGGAGCATCTGGGGGGCTCTGCACAGCAGGAGGTGAAGGGCCCTGGGAGCACAGTCCACCCCAGCCAGAGCACAGGGTCCAACCAAGGCCAGCACTGGCCTGGCGCTGCCCTCGGCCTGAGTCCCGATGACAGGGGAAGGTACTGGCTTCACCAACACCCAAGACCTTTAGAGCCGTACCTAGCTAAGCTGACCCCATGTTCCAGGCAGGATCTATTCCAGGCATGGTGCTGTCCTGTTCCAGGCCTGGAGCCGCACCCACCACCCCAGATGCTCTCTGGATTCCCAGCAGGGTGCCCCCTAGTGCCCACCCCCACCTCTGTGTTGGCCTCATGCTCACGAGGGCCCTAATGGCAGTCCAGCTTCTAGGACTTCCTCTTACTCCAGAGAATTTTGCTTGCCATGGGATTTGAAGGAGGAAATGGTAAGTATTAGGTGCATGGCTCAGCAATTTCAGGGTTCTGATGAGCCAATGACTCCCTTCCGCCCCACCTAGCCGGGCCTGGCTCCCTGGGGGTGTCTGCATGTGGCTGTGCCGTGGTCCTGAGAAGAGGGGCTTCCTGCTCTCTTCCAAACTCTAGTGGAGGCCCTGAGGGCTCTAACACCCGCCATGCCCACCTGGGCCAGGCTGGGTGTGCCTCTGTCATCCTAACCAGGATGAAAACCTGCTGGACTGGACTGGCAGGGTGGCTATGCCAGCCCCCAGCATGGGCACACCTGTTCTGTGTCCCTTCAGGCGGGTGCGGTAAAGCCTGGGCGGGTCCTGGAGCCCAGAAGCAGTGGCACAGAGGTGAGCCAGGAGCTGGGCTAGTCCCTAGGGGCCCCGCCAGGAGGGGCACCTGTGTTGGGTCAGGGAGGTTCCTGCTTACCAAGAGCAGGCTAGGGCCCAGCTGTGCCCTCCCCCATGGTGCCCTGTGGGGTCAGCCATGGGGCAGGCATTTTCTCCTGCTGCCTGACGAGTTTTCCTGGAAGGCCCCTGGGGAGGAGGGAGGCAGCCTCATGGAGTGGCTGTGCAGGACAGCAGGGGGGAGATGGGCCTGACGCACCACACCAGCCTGCAGACAAGGGCCGCGGGCAGCCCTTGGCCAGTCTGCAGGAAGCTGTGCCGGGAGCAGACCAGAGGGCCCTGGGCGTGGGTCCCGAAGTGGCTGTGGGCTCCAGTGACACATTTCAGCTGGGCCCTCCAATGCCGCCTGCAGCCGTTACTGAGCCACGTCCTGGAGAAGGGTGTTATGAGGCCTGTGAGCAGCACACCCACTCTCCTGAATGAGTGGGGGGCCCTCTAGATCTGGGCATTGCTGGGGTGTCAGCTGGACCCTTCCCAAAGCAGCTAGTGTAAGGGTAGCAGATGCAGGTCCACCCCATGGCTGCCCTCAGCCCCTGCGTCCCAGCCTTGGGAGGAGGACGGTGGCTGGTGACATTGGTCAGCTGGAGCCCAGACACCCTGAGCTACTCCATCCCTTATCCTGAGAGAGAAGCAGATGACTGGGTCTGGGGCAGGCTCATCATTGGCTCTGCCTCAGATCAGGGACCCCAGGAGTGGCTCCCAGGCTCCTGTCCACCCTACCTGTCCTGGCCCAAGGCTGCCTGTCCAGGGCTTCTCAAATATCAGAGCTCAGGTTGGAATGGAGCTTCAGCTGGGGCCCTGCCCCCACCCACCCTGACTCACCTCCCTACTGTGAGGTCAGCACCTTCTGGCGAGTTCCGTCCAGAGGTGTGCGGTGGGGCTGGGGGCTGGACATGGCCCTCTGTCCTCAGCCTGACTCCTGCCTGGCTGGCAGCCCCCTTGGCCTGATATGTTTGTCCCTTTGGCTCATGCCTGCTGCAGGTGCCTCCTCCTGCCCCCAGCCAGAACCCCTCCCTTGTCCAGCAGGTCAGGTGTGCCCGAGTCCTTATGGTGGCCACCAGGGGGAGGGGTAGCCCTGGGGAGTCTTCTGCTAGTGACAGTGGCCCCCCAGGCCTAGCGGGCTCTGTCTCTGCAGCAGGAACCTACTGTGAGTGCAGCCTGGGCCTCAGCTGGGAGGCCCTCATCGCCCTGCTTGTGGTGCTGGCGGGCATCAGCGCCAGCTGCTTCTGCGTCCTCGTCATTGTGGCAGTTGGCATCATGCGAGCCAAGGGGTGTGTGAGCCCCAGGGCTGGGGCGGGTGGATGAGGGCCACAGGGCCATACCACCTGCCCTGAGCCCTTGGTCTTGCTGGGAGAGGGGCCTCTGCTCCTGGGAGAGATGCCACCAGGGGCTTGGGAATGGCAATTCCCAGACTGCGGGTTAGAGGGAGGTGTGGAGGGTACCTCCAGACTCCTGGAGGCTAGCCCCATTCTTCTAGGACTCATACCTACCTTTGTTTCCCCAGTGAAACATGCCCCAGACACACGGATAGCAGGTGAGTGGCCCCAGGGGAGGATCCCAGGAGTGAACTGCGTCCCTGCCCCCTGTCCTCAGGAGGTACAGTTCTCAGAGCACTCGACGGGAGTGCAGGGTCCATACTGGGTGGTCAAAGAAGACCTTGTGAGCCCGAGCTGATGGCTGCCTGCAGCCAGCCCGACCGCCTGTGCCCTGCAGGTTGGTGGGGCACTTCGGGGCCCAGGAAGAGTGCATGGACCTGCACGCAGTGCATGTGGAGTCCCACGTTATGGATCCTGACCTGGAGGTCTCCACGACGCTGCCCCCGGAGGGTCATGGCCTCAGGACCATCCCCGTGGTTCAGTGACCCTAGAGGAGCGGTGCCCCCCTCCCACCTGAGTAGGCTGTGGCAGTTGGGAGTTAGTGGGTCTGCACTGTCCTCCCTGCCTCCTCCTAGAGCCCAGGTGGCTGGGCCATGGGGCAGGGGTACAGTCTATGCACCTGGGTCATCTCTATCTTCCATGAGGGTGCCCACCCCAGGCACCCACTGTCCACCATCCAGGGCAGGAGCCACACTTCTGTATTTCCGCTTCCTCCTGCATGGCCTCAGCCTAGCTCCTCCCTGCATCTTCCTGCTGCTTTGTCCTCTGAAGCTGGCAGGGCTCCTGGGCCTGTGCCCAGCCCCACCCCCGTTAAACACCAGGACAGGACCTGCAGCTCTGGCAACTCCAGAGGGAACAGCATCTGGCAGGAGGACCAGGGCTCGTGCCCCTGCCCCGCCCACACTGTCTCCTTGAGGTTCCAGGAGAGTCCTTGCAGGCATGACTCTGCCTCCCATGTGCCACCCACTCCACCCTGCAGCTTATCCCTGGGCTCGGGTCCCCATCATGCGCCCCCACCAATCACCCACCCCACCATGAGGGGTGCTGCCATTGCCATTCCCATGTGGGGGCTACTGTATATGTGTGCTAGGGTCACTCTGCGGAGCGACAAACGGACCGAGACTGGGGTGAGAAGGGCACACTGACTCCAGTGTGTCCCATCCATGAGTCCGGTGTGTGTGTGTGGGGGGGGTACAGCTGCAGCACAGGCCACGGGGGCGTGGGTTGGTGAACCCATACAAAGGGGGGCTTCTCGGCAGCGCCAGGAGGAGCCTGGAACTCCGGGACAGGTGGCTGGCAGCGCAGGGCGCTGGCTGTGTGCCCGGCCCCCGCCCTAGGCGCGGGGCAGGAACTGCCGGGCTCAGGCCGAAAGGCTGACATTCGTGCGGGCGCCGCGGGGACGCAGGGGTTCCGGGGACTCAGCGGACAGCAGGCCTCCCACCGCCCCCATGCGGAGCCCCGCCTTTCTCGCGCGGCCGTCGCTACTGCTCCTGCTGTGGCCCTGGCCAGTCTGGGCCCAGACACCCACCGCGGCCGCTCCTCCTGGACACTCGGGAGCCCCCGGCTGCCCCGCGCTGTGCGAGTGCACTCCTGGCGGCGAGGCTAACTGCACCGGGCGCGCGCTGGTCGCCGTACCCGCGGGCCTGAGCCGGCGCGTGCGCGTGCTGCTGCTGGACCACAACCGCGTGCGCGCGCTGCCGCCCGGCGCCTTCATGGGCGCGGGCGCGCTGCGGCACCTGGGCCTGCGCGAGAACAGGCTGCGCTGGGTGCACGCGCGCGCCTTCTGGGGCCTGGCCGCGCTGGAGCTGCTGGACCTCAGCGCTAACCAGCTGGAGGCGCTGGAGCCCGGCACCTTCGCGCCGCTGCGCGCGCTGCGCACCCTCTCGCTAGCCGGCAACCGGCTGGCGCTCCTGGAGCCCACAGCGCTGGGCGCGCTCCCGCACCTGAGCGCGCTCAGCCTGCAGGACAACGAGCTGTCTACACTCGCGCCGGGCCTGCTGGCCAGCTTGCCCGCGCTCAACGCCCTGCGCCTGCGTGGCAACCCCTGGGCCTGCGGCTGCGCGCTGCGCCCGCTCTGCACCTGGCTGCGCAACCACCCGCGGCCGGCGCCAGGTGAGCCGGCGGGGCGGGGCGGGGCGGGGCGGGGGCGACGGCAGCCGCTGCCACCGCCTCCTGAACTCCGCGCCGGTGTCCCGCAGAGGCTGAGACGCTGCACTGCGTGTCTCCGGGGCGCCTGACTCTCAGCCCCGTGACCGCCTTCCCCGACACCGCCTTCAGCCACTGCACGAAGCCACTCGCTGCGCGGGACCTAGCCGTGGTCTACGCGCTCGGGCCCGGCTCCTTCCTCGCCAGCCTGGCCGCCTGCCTGGCGCTGGGCTCGGTGCTTACCGCCTGCCGGGCGCGCCGCCGCCGCGCCGCTGCCCGCCGCCCGCCAAGGAGACCACCAGACTCCTGCCCGGGCCCAGCTTCGCCCACGGACGCTGGGAGCCCCATCGCCGCCGCCGATGCCGCCGCCCCCGTTGTCCATGCCTGAATGGACCACGGCTGCCCTCGAATCTCGCCCCCTATCCCCTGCCCTCCACACTCCCTGCTGGCGTCAACAAGTGACATAGGCCGAAATTTCGTGACATTCTTTTAGGCATCACCACTGCATACACCGGGTCAGGGGGGCGGCGCGCGCCGGGTCCCTGGGACGGAGGGGCCGCATGGGGAAGGGGTAGGCCTGTACAAGGGGGTAGGCAGGTCTGAGGTTGGTCCCGAGCCGGCCTCTGGGGAAGGCCATTATGGTTTGCAGGCCGGAGACGAAGAGAAGACGCAGCCCCCTCAGTGTGGAGGAGGGACACATTGGAGCAGCCGGGAGCCCGAGGGTGTCCCCAGGAGCAGCTGCCAGCTGGGGGATCAGGGTCTGCTGATGGGAAAGGGCAGGACCAGCTCGGAGGACGGGGTCAAGCGGAGAAGGGATGAGGGTCAGAAAAGGAGGGGGGTGGAGCCAGGCTGGGAGGGGCTGGAGCTGGAGGAGGGGTGACCCAGCCAGCTGCGGCGGGGGTCCCCACTGAGGTTCTGGTAGTGGCTGGGAAGGATGGGGCTTCAGTCTCTGCTCCGAGCCCCTCCACCCAGGCCGTCCTAGCCCCTCTCCCCACTGCTCAGAGACCCCAGGGCCCTGCCTCTGCCGGAGTGCCCTGTGGCCCTGCCCAGCCAGCTCAGCTCTGGCCTGTCCTCAGCCGCTCTGGTCCGCGCCTCGGTCCAGCAGGGGCTGCCCACCAGGCATCAGGGCAGACGGACAGACGGGAGGCCCAGGGTGGGCAGTCTCGGGCAGGTGGGCTTCCCTCAGGCCTTCCCGAGCAGCAGGACCCATCAGTGTCCTTGGCCGGGCTAACTGGGCAGGTGGGCGCCTCCGGGGGCCTCAAACCACGGTGCTGACCGAGGGATCTGAGAGGTTGAGCGGGCCCGTGATATCAGTGGGATGGTACTGCTGCAAAATATAAATACACAGACAAGGCGGCCCGTCAGCCCTGATGCTCGGGGGGCATGCGCAGGGCCGGGACGGGTGGACCGGCCGGCCGGCCGACCGGCGGGCAGGCGGGAGGGCGCGGCCTGGGGGAGGCTGGGGGGCGCTCCTCCCCCTGACCCCGTCGTGCTCCGGGACTCTGCGTGGGCCGGGCCGCTGTCCCGTCCGTCTGTCTGTCTGTCTGCGGGGGAGGGGGGCAGAGGAGGGCGGGCAGGGCGTCTCAGCTCTCCCTATGACGGGCACACATCTGCAGCTGGCCCTCCTCCCTCTCAATAGCGCGTCGCGGCAGCACTGTGTCTTTTTGGTTTTGCAAAGCGCCGCGTCCACCCCCGGTGCTCTATAAATAAGAACCAACAATCAATACCCGCTGGCCCCGCCAGCCACCAGGGACCCCAGCCCTGAGCGCCCAGTGCCGCCCTGGCCCAGACTGGCCACAGGACAGGGGCAGAGGATCTCAGCAGCCGGACAGACCCAACCCCTCCCAACAGCGCCCTCCACCCAGGCCTCCCTCCAAGCAGGCACCCAGCCCGAAACAAGGTGGGAGCTGGGCTGCCCTCCCCCGCCCAGGCCCCCCAGCTGGCAGTGCCCCTGTCATCCCTGCAGTGCACATGGTACCAGGGCTGGCCTGGGGGACGGTCCCTGGTGCCCAGGGAGGCTCAGTGGAGTCCGCTGTGAATGTGTCCCAGAAAGGCACCATGAAGGCCTGAGCTGCACATGGGCCGGCTAAGGGATGTGCGTGTCTGCTCTGGGTGGGAGCACGGGGTGGGGGTGGGCGGGAGTCAGTAACACCCTCAGGAAGTGACCCATCGTCTGCATGACTTTTATGCCCCTTCTTCAGCTGCCTGCCCAAAAAGTGCTGTCTGCCAGGATACCCTGTCCCCCATCCCCACCCCTGATCCTCTCTGGTCCTGCCCTCTCACCCTCCTCTTCCCACGCCCCTGGTGGGGCCCTTGGCTCAGGCTCTGTCCAATTTCCTGGGCTTGGGTGACCCTCACGCTCTGCCCACCCTTCCAGGGCTGAGCCCCTCCTGGGAAGTGGAGCAGCCAGGCCTCGCAGGCCCCCGGTGGGGCACCCTGGTGGCTTTGCCCTGCACTCAGATCGCTCTGGCCAAGTCCTGTATCCTGGAGGTCAGCCTCTCTTCCCGAGCACCGGGCCAGGGGACTGAAAATCCTTTTCACCTTGCAGCATAAGACCCTGTGGGGTGCTGTGGCTTCCTGTGGGCTGGACTGCTGTGGGCCCAGGGCTGTGCTGGCTGTGGGTGGCCCCTCCCCACCTGAACCGGGGTGTCCCCAGCAAGGCTGGGTTCATTTGGGGGCTTTTGTCTCATCTGCACATTCGGTGCAACAAGCTGCTCAGAGTAGACCTGCTCTGCTGTGGCCCTGAGGGGTGGGCTGGGGCTCAGGAGCTGAGGCTCTAGTCTCCTCCATGGAGGCCTCCCCTTCCTGGGCCTCTGTCTGGGAGTCTCAGCGCCCCAGCTCTGTGGGCCACAGCTCAACCTGGGGTGGCAGCCACCCCTCTGGTCCCATCCAGTCCCCACCTGATGGTCCCCTGTGGCCAGAGGCCTCTTTCAACTCCAGGCCCCAGCAGTCCACCCAAATGGGGCCAGGCCCGGCCCCCAGCCCCAGCCCACACAGAGACCACATGGAGGGGATGCAACAGGCATGGCTCTGGTGAGACATGTGAGACAGGTGTCTGAGGGGCGGGGCCGGCGGCCAGACAGATGGACGGATGGGACATCACAGCCACCTCCCTGTGGACGTTGCAGGGCAGGAGAGGAGGCAGCAGGCCCTCTCAGGGAGGCTGGAGAAACGGGTGTAAGGGAGAGGCGGGACTGCCTCCTGGTGGGCAAGGAGCCAGGAATGGGCGGCTCTGGGCTCCCAGGGGCCTCGGGCATGGCCCCAAGGTAGTGAGGCTGACCAACAACATGACATAGCTTCAAGATGGCGCATGGCGTCATGGCATGGGGGGCAGACCAATGCAGAGACACACGGGGAAAGAGGACCCCTTGAGGGCCTGTGGGAGAGAGGACCAAGAAAGGTCTGGAGCTGGAGAGAAGACCTGTGTGCTGGGCCAGTAGAGATGAGGCCAGGAGGGCCACAGCGGTTGGGGTGGAGTGGGATGATGAGGAGGAGGGAAGAGGGCACGCCTGATGCACGGGACACAGACACGGAGGGCGGGCGAGATCAGTCGGAGACGTGGGACTGGGTGTCTTCCCCTTACCGTGTCTTTGGAGGACCTACGTCTCTTGAAGCTGGAAGCCAGGGTGGAGGTGATAGCCCTAAATGTGGCTTTCTTTTTAGGGTCGGGCTCTGCTCTACCACTCTTTCTATCCTAAAATGAATATGTATAAGTGATTAGACGGCTGAGGGTGGCGGCCACACCTGCCCTCGCCTGCTCCTTGGGGGCTGCTGCCCAGCCTGGCCGGCCACTCAGGCCCTCGCTCCTGCCTGCTTCCCTGCGCTGGATTGTCAGACCAGCGGCCACACGTGTGCAGGCAGCCTCTGTTCCCGTGGGGGTCTCAGGCCTGACCTTGCTTGTGCTGGGGCTGGGCTGAGTCCTGTCTGGCTCTCTTCCGGGGAGATCCACCTGGCTCCCTGGCCCCGGGTGGCCCTGGTTTACAGGTGTCCCGAGGAGGAGGGGCCCTCTGAGTACTGGAGGAGTTGCCCTTGAGCCCACCAGTCACTCTGACCCCAGAGGGGCACACCAAGATTCAGGAAGGGGCCAAGGGGCTGAAGGCAGGTGGCGAGACGAATTGGAGTGATAGATAGATAGATAGATGAAGGCAGCCCCTGGGACCCTGGCCCCCTGGTCTCATGGCCAGGATGGCCCTGTGCCCTCTAGTGAGGCCAGTGACTAGGTCCCAAGAACAAGAGTGGGCAGATGAGAGTTGTGTGGGCTCCCCCATGGCCTTTCCTCTCTGCACTGCCAGCCGCATCCCAGCGCACAGGCTCTGGGGAGGCACCCAGAGAAAGAGAAGAGATGGATCAAGCTGGAACTGGATGGTGGGGCAGGAGCCTGCAGGCCTGCACAGACCCCACTGCCCACCCCATCCCAAGTGGGCTGTGGCTGCCTCACGCACAGCCTGTCTCCCGCTGGCATCAAGTTCCCACAGACACAGCTGCAGTGCCAGGCAGGGCCAGCTCGGGCCCCAATTCAGACTGCAGTACTGGAGCACAGAAGGCAGCAGGGAAAGGGGTGCCCGGAGGGTACAGAGGGGCGTGGGGTGGCAAGGGCAGAATACATCTTGGACTCACGTGCTACACCCAGGTGGGTCCCTGTCTTACCCTGCCTCAGTTTGCCCTCCTATGGAATGGGCGCCAGCAGGTGACTCTGGAGACAGAGGGGCCAGGTGGAGGCTCAGAGCCCAGCTTTGCCCTGGCTGGCTCCAGTCCTGCCCCCATGGGCTCCTGGGAGCCACAGCCAGTGCTTCGGCCTGTGGGGATGGAGGAGGGCCTGGGCCAGGCCGGGCCGTGGGCACCAGGCCTCGGAGGGTGGCCTGCCCTACCTGAAGGTTCTTCCTCCACACGTTCACTGCTGCAAAGGCAAGCTGCATCTGCTTCCGGCGAGCGTCCTTGTGCCGCTTGTAGGCAATCTCGATGAAGATCAGGAAAATCCCCGCCACGATGCCCCCAGCCACCAGCATGAAGACCCCTGTGGGCCGGGACCCAGCACCTCAGCTGTTGGCTGCCCAGTCCGCGGGGCCCCTAGAGTACCCACCCACTGTCAGCAGCGGCGTTGAGGGGAATGGGGGTCCCCACCTGCCATGTTCTCGAAGGTGAGGGTAGCAGGGGCGTTGCTGCGCGAGTCACACTCCTGGTACCGCACCCACGTCTTGTCCAGGTCTTCCATGAAGCCGTTCTCGTGGGACCTGGGTGGGCGGGGCGTGCGAGAGGCGGGGCCCAGAGTCGGCGGAGGGCGAGCTGGGCGGGGCCTGGAGTGGGCGGGGCGGCGCTGGGGCGGGCTGGGAGTGGCAAGGAACCGGGCGCTGCGGTAGGGGCGTCTGGCCCCAGGTGGGAGGCTCTTGGAGGGGGTTGGAGAAGGTGGTGCAGCGACGGCCGGAGGCTGGCTCACTTGAGGATGGACAGGGAGACGTTCTGCTTCCAGGGGCTGT